CCAGAAGCTACTGTGGCCCCTGCAAAATGCTGGAAGAACTTGACAAAATGTTTACACGTACATGTAGATAACACATCCCGACCGCAAGTTCACACACACAACACTCTACACACACACAACACACACAACACTCTACACACACACACAACACTCTACACACACACAACACACACTACATACACACACAACTCACACACAACACACACACACTACACACAAAACACACAACACACACAACACTCTACACACACACAACACACACTACACACACACACAACACTCTACACACACACAACACACACTACATACACACACAACTCACACACAACACACACACACTACACACAAAACACACAACACACACAACACTCTACACACACACAACACACACTACACACACACACAACACTCTACACACACACAACACACACTACATACACACACAACTCACACACAACACACACACAACACACACACACACACACACTACACACACACAACACACACACAATACACACAACACTCTACACACTACACACACACACAACACACACAACTCACACACACACTACACACACAACACACACACACACAACACACACACACTACACACACACCCAACACACACACGTAACACACAACTCACACACACCCAACACACACACGTAACACACACACACAACACACACATACACACACACACACTACACAAACACAACACACACACACAAAACACAAACACACACACACACAACACCCACCTTCCACTGGACTCCCAACACATTCCCCACAAGATCCCATGTTGGCCAAAAGATCCTCCACAAAAAACACTGTGCACGTTTTAGTTTTACGCCCCTGTTAACACAATCTAAACCAACAAGGAAATGAACTGCTTTGATCATGTCTGTCAGAGATAGCCCTGCTCATGGTGCGCCGCGGGGGGTTCCTCGACGAGCGCCTTATCATGTCGGGGTCACGAAGGTCAGCTCCCTGTCGCCGCTCTGTCTGGGAAGACTTACTTTTTGGTACTTTTCAACATACAATTTTAGGTGTATCCCCGTATTTATGGTAATTCTCATTTAGTGCACCCAAAGCCCGCATTTCAGCTCTTGAGACTCAAAAAAGAAGGGACGTTGTAACTTGTCTGGTTATTTCGTTAGACTCGCTGGAGTCGGCAATGCTAAATTGTACTTTTTTTTTACAAGCATGAATGAAAAAAAATCAATATTAAAAAAAGGCCTCTACAAAATCTGTCGAACTTTTGGAACATGAACGACATAGCATTGGTGCAGATACTCAGAAAAGATGGTATCTGCGCATATAATAGAAGGCTGTAATTTTGCTCCCCAAAACAAACTTCTCAATATGGGAATTCCATCTCTCTTCTACCGTGAGCCCCCCCCCCAGACGAATCGTCCACTTACATTTTTCATAACCTCGGTCCACTCCCCATGTCCAGCCTGCCAGTCCTTGACCTGTTGCAAGTTGTCCGAGATCCGCACAAAATCATCCGGCTGGAACACTTGGACCTGAGCACCAAACAGACAAAGCAACCTTCAGGCCTGGCAAAGTACACTGGTTCAACTATAGCTGTCAGCTACCTTTGGTAGCGTCGGTACTCTCAGAATCTAAACCGTAAGGTCGTGGGTTCAAATTCCTTCAGGGGCCTGATATTGTGTCACTTGAAAGGCACTTTACACAAATTTCTTGACTTCACCCAGGTGGGAATGGGTACCTGACTACAGACATTGAAATGTCTTGTCTGTTAGTATATTCGTCCTTCAGACTACTTGCGCTGTATGCTTCCCGGGAAGCCGAGAATATTTAGGAACCTTCCATGGTCTGCTGCCGTTCTAATAGTTGCTGACTCCCTCCTGTGTCGAGCCAAATGTTCTAATAGTTGCCGACACCTTCCTGTGTCAAGCCAAATGTTGTAATAGTTGCCGACACCTTCCTGTGTCAAGCCAAATGTTGTAATAGTTGCCGACACCTTCCTGTGTCAAGCCAAATGTGGGCAGCCAATTGTCTACACCATTCTCATACCCCCCAAACCTTTTCACTTACCAATACCATTATGCCAGTAATACATCATCGACAGTACTCACCTTTTTTTGTTTTTGTTCCCAAAATGGCCAGAAGGAAATGAAAGAAAGCAAGCTCTTACTAACAAAGTTTAGCTATTGAGAATCAATCCCATAATTTGGGCCATTCAGAATTTGAAATGAGTCCTTCAATTGACAAACCCCGTACCTTGGTCAGGGCCTCAGAGTGAAAGGTCCATCGGTTGGCACATCCGTCGTACTGTACACGCACGTCGCCCCGGTCCGTGATCCTGTGCACCACGCCCATCTTGTTGATGTACTGTGTACAGGAGTAAGGGGGCACACATGTTACGTGATTACAGAAGAAAAACATGGAAAGTTTGGAGCGGGAAATTATTGATTTTCAATTTCTTCTCTTCCAAATCTAAAAGGCCTTCTAAAAATACTGTCTTTAAATGCTTTAATTTGGATCGCGTTTATTTATTGTTTCTAGAGAAATAAAACAATCCAGAAACTCTGAGCTTTATCTTTCCTGACTTATTGGCTTAAATAATTCAGCTCAACAAAACACTGTAGGAGACATTTGGAACATTTCAAAACTAATAATCTTTGACAGCTGCAGATTCAGAAAATGCCAGTATTTCAGAAAGTTATTGTTTCAAAACCCTGGTTTCCTTATGCCTGCAAACAGATAAACCATAACGACTCTGTTCACATGAGGCATCATTCAGTGTGCCTAGAGACATATCTCTTACATCGGCCATTCTGGGGTTCCAGCCTCCGTGGCCTTCCTGCATCTGCTTGAGGACTTCCATGTCGAGGTTACACCGAACTTTGTCGCCGACCTTGAAGACGCTGGGAGTCACGCCGCCCTGAGCCGCCACAACATCCCCTGGAGACAAAAGCAACAAAGTTGTCACATGACTGATGTCACATGACTGACACAATCAACAAACAAAACATCACATGACTGGCACAATCAACAAACAAAACATCACATGACTGGCACAGCCAACAAACAAAACATCCAAGTTGTCACATGACTGAGGCACTATCAACAAACCAAACATATCAAGCTTCAAGTCCGTCACACGACTATCCCAAACAAACAAAAAATGAAAAAACAGTCCTGAGTCTGCACAAAGCTGTCAGAAACAACAAATCACATTCCAAATTAGAGCCAAAATCGCTCAAGACCGCCACCCATTGCTGAGGAGAAAAATGTCTCTCTCCAACAGGTGGCGGCCTTAAACAGTGCTGTAACAATGGAAGTAACAAACCCAACGGGGGAAATCTGTAACAATGGAAGTAACAAACCCAACGGGGGAAATCTGTAACAATGGAAGGAACAAACCCAACGGGGGAAATCTGTAACAATGGAAGTAACAAACCCAACGGGGGAAATCTGTAACAAT